CTTTTTGTTTTAAACAACTTTCCACAACAGCAGGTTAATGGTTGAGCTAGCATAGGCTTTATGGAGCTCGATCGTAATTTTTCGTCACCCCTTCTCTGCGTAGTTTAACTCATTAACTTTTACCAATTCTACCAACTTGATGACTTTCTCAATATGTTTCAAAAGATATTCTTCTACTAGGTCTTCAACTCTTTTAGACCCTTTTAAGTTTAAACAAAAAAAACCATACAGACAAGTACAATATGGCAACCCAGGTTTATCTTAAGGATTTGATGTTTGTTGTGGCAGAACTATTTGGTGAAGGCCTGGTTTTGACTGTACGTGCAAGATAAAATGTATTCTAACAAGGAGGAAGTAGAAGGGAAGTGTATCATCCTTCTGCAAAGTGTAGAGAAAAGGATGGACTTCAAGATTCCGAACAGTAGAAGATATTGCCTTGAAAAGCAAACTTTTGGGATTTTTTTTGTTACTTGGAGTAAAGAAATTCTTCAAGTTTATGATTTATGAAAGCAATTAAAATCTGAGAACTCTATAGTTAAAGAGGCAGGCTTTTACACCCTATTTTCACTTATTGCCTCTCTCAGAAAACATACTCCTACTCTTTAGTTTTTCTTTTCAGGTCAAGGATTCTATCAAGCTGGAATTATTGGATCTCAATGTATCATATATCGACGTGGCTAGGGCCTCCCACTGCCACACCAGGTCTGAAAGCTTAAGATCCCACCCCCCCCCCCCCTCCAACTTTTCATCTCCACTTCCTACTTTTTTCATACATATGTGACAGGGGCTGCGAGAGAAGAAGGGGAATTATCTGAAAAAGTGCTTAAATTTGCATCTTCTAGGCAGAAAAAGGTATGTATCATTGCTGCAAATGGGTCATGCTCTATGGCGGGAGTGATCTGTAAAGGTCATTTTCCGGGGCTCTCTTTGGTGTCCTTAACAAAACAACCAAGTAAATTTATGCTAATCAGTTGTCGTATGAACACAGTGCCTCTTCTATTTTGGTTAGGGATGATTTGAAATCTCTGCATCCTGATATTGCCATATTGAAAACAGTATTTGGCTTGTATGTTAAGGGCATCATTCAGGTATTCCTGGCTGACCTGTTTTTAATATTTTTAATAATGATAATGAGATTGTACATAACACTTATTTGTTATGTCTTTATTATATAGTTTTCATCATTTTGTTTCCTTGTTTTTTTTCTTTTTCTGGAATTATCACTTTGTGTGGACATATAAGTATATAACTTATGAAATTTCAATCGATTTACCGCACTTACGTGTATACATGTTCTTAGGTGTTCTCTAATGTCTTCTATAATCGAAACTTCATATTTATTTTATAATTGTTTACTCGAATCTTTTTTAGTTATAGATAGGCGATATTCCTCTTTACAATTGTACTATTTGTTTAGTCATCGACAACTTCCATCCCTTCAACACTAACATATTTGGTGCTGAGTTTATGCTACATAATGTTTGCGAAGAAGTTTATTATCTTGCGATTTCTAATTTTGGGACAAGCACCTGCTAATGCAACTTTCCTTTTCACTTGGAAGTAAGTGTTTGTCTCCTTACTTAGAATAAGCTTATGTCACCTGATTTGTTATGTGCAATTAGTTAAGCTTTGGATGATAATGAACTTAAATTTATACATGTTTCACTATTCAATTGATGGAGGTGAGCAAAGTCTTTGTTGTAGTCTTTGGTGTGCAGATCTTTAGTTTGCTTTCTTCAACTATGATTTTATTTTCAATTTTTTCAATATAATATCAAAGAAAGTTGGTGGTGCAGGTTCTATTTGTAGCTATAGGTGAGATGGAGCTGAGGGACACCCCCGACATTGTTACCCAAGCTACCGCAAAGAGGCCCGAAGAAGATGAAGAGGGAACAAGAAGAGGAGATATAATAATAACATGGATATAGTGTAGGGGTAGAAGGGTAGTGGTAGCAGTAATAATAGCAAAAGAAATAATAGCAGTGTGTGGAAGAAATTAAAAAGGAAGCTTGGGTGTGTAACCTCTACGCAACATGACTATATTAACGGCCATGTAAAGAGGAACAAGCAAGATCACACAGTCTAAGGTGAGAAATTCAAATAAACTTAGGGAGTATTTGCAATTGCTTCTGCTTTAAAAAATCACTTTTTAAAGTGATTTTAGAAAAAGAACTTATTAGTAAAAGTTGGTGGTGTTTGAGAAAAAATTGATTTTGAAAAGTAAAAGTTGGTATTGTTCGGTAAAATATGTGTTTTTTGTGTTACAAAAAAAGTAAAAAAAAAAAAAACAGTTTCTAGCTTTTAGAAACTAGAAGTTATCACTTGAGAACACTCTTTTCAACTTTTTTAAGCCAAAAGTTGAAAATCATTTTTTTGCAAACGTACCTTAAGTATTTTCACCTCTCTTTTACTCCGTATTTATTTATTCATTTGATTTATTTACTAACTACGACTTATAAGTATTCATTTAATTAAAAATAGAAGAGACCAACAATCCCACATACGCTTTTGCCTAAGAGCCCTTCCGCGTGAGCTGCATTCTGCAATTACTGCCCAAGAAGGCAAGAAGCATGCACCCTTTCCTTTTCATTATTGATTATCCGCTTTCAAGTGTTTGATATTTAAAAATATAAATCTTATGAAAAATTACCAACATGCACCTCACAAGAATACAATGCACATAACAAATGATAAAACTACATATTTGAAGGTAAAAATTAACACTTTTTTTATAGTTGGGCATAATCTCAAACGCTCATGAATTTTTTTAGTGAGTCCTGATGATAAATATGGATAATAGGATCTGTGTGGGTGCAAGTTTTCAGTTTTTGACACAAACTTATGATTTACTTGTTATATTGTTCAGCAAGTTGGATTAAAAGTTAATGCTCTTACTGTCTTAAAAATTACATTAACACAACCTACCTGCTTCTTTTGATTTTTAGGCCATCCTTGTATTGTGGATGACAGTGTTGCCCCTGACAAGCCTCTCGATCCTGCACTCTCCTCCACGTAGTTGTTCTTTGACGCCAGCCCTCCGATTTTGTAACACCCCGGCCCCGCAGGACCCGAGGTAGTTACTCCGGACCTCTAGTACTGTCCTCACAAACCGCCACTAGCCTTTTCCGCGCACTTTGTCCTCACTCGTGCGCGCCCTGAGAAACTTCCCAGGGGGTCACCCATCCCAAGACTACTCCCGTGCACGCACGCTTAACTTTGGAGTTCTTGGGTAATGAGCTCCCTTAAAAGGAGATGCACCTTTGTTGGTATGAGTAGTACTATTAATCCATTTATATTAAATCTCAAGTGTTACAATCACCCCCACTTAGGAATGCAACGTCCTCGTTGCGCCCATAAACCAATCTCAATCAAATCCCAGAATCTTCCCCCGCTAAGTGCCCGCCTGATATCCAACGGGTCAGCACACTGTCGCAGGGTTGCTCTGATACCACCTGTAACACCCCGAGTGAGGCCAAAGTGCGCGGTAAAGGCTCGTGGTGGTTTGTGAGGACAGTACTAGAGGTCTAGAGTAACTACTTCGAGTCCTGCGGGGCCGGGGTGTTACAAATGGTATCAGAGCAACCCTGCGACAGTGTGATGACCCGTTGGATATCGGGCGGGCACTTAGCGGGGGAAGATTCTGGGATTTGATTGAGATTTGAGATTGGTTCAAGGGCGCAACGAGGACGTTGCGATCCTAAGTGGGGGTGATTGTAACACTTGAGATTTAATATAAACGGATTAATAGTACTACTCATACCAACAAGGTGCATCTCCTTTTAAGGGAGCTCATTAGCCAAGAACTCCAAAGTTAAACGTGCTTGCACGGGAGTAGTCCTGGGATGGGTGACCCCCTGGGAAGTTTCTCAGGGCACGCACGAGTGAGGACAAAGTGCGCGTAGAAGGCTAGTGGCGGTTTGTGAGGACAGTACTATTGGTCTGGAGTAACTACCTCGGGTCCTGCGGGGCCGGGGTGTTACAGATTTTCCCAGCGTCACTGTCAGTCTGTCTGTTCATCCCAGATGACCTAAGCACAGCAATAACTACAAATTCCCATTTTATCTTCTTTTTGTAGGCTGAATAGTTAAAATGATCAATGTCCATTTCATCGCATGCCTTTTGATCTGTTTCTCGCTCTCTTTTGTGTGCAAATATATACGACTGTGCATACTTTATGTATTCCAAATAAAATTATTCCGTGATATTTTGGGTCTCATGATGATATGCTTAGTTATAATTTGTTCTCTATTTTCATACTTCATTTTTAGTAATCTGGTTATTAAATGCTAATCATTCGCTTTTGTCTGAATCAAGTATGCTTTATGTTTGAAACAAGGTTATACATGAAAGGCTAGCCAAATTTAAATGATATCAGCTTCCGTTTTTTAATCTTGGAATATAGTTTTAGGTTTTGTTGTACGTGTCATGCGACTTTATTCTATGAGAGGTTTTTTGTACTGTCTTCTTACTTCAAATTTTATTTGAATTTCATATAAAAGTATATAATAGTGGGCATTTCCCATCGCGCAACGCGCGTATAAAAAACTAGTGTACATTATAAGGGAGGAAAGGAGTATAACAAAGAAAGATCCCAATGGGTGATGTGGCTGGTGATCCGGTGTTTACCTGTAAAAATTGAAATTTGATTTTTTTTTACTCATTTAGAGTGCAAATTAGACCGTTTTTAATTCAGATATTGAATTGAGCAAACACTGACTAATATAGAGACCTATTTGACCCTTTAACCTTATTATTACAACAGGATTAAATGCAGATAATTTTTTTGAGCTCACACATTAAACCCCTTGAATACATGAAAACAGGTCCTCGATTAGGAATCTAACGGTTGTAGCTACAAAATCTCGAGGTTCCACTTCTACCATGAAAGTAGCTTGCATGTCTCGCCTCATGAAAACTATCTTCGTAACCGATTTCAATTTTCCCCTTCAGTCCTTCCCACCCAACATAAGTTACATAACAACACCATCACATATAAGTACGTCATAAGGTAGCTTAAGTTAGCATTTTTATTAAGATGTGATTCCATTAATATAATCATGCTTGTAGTAACACGATTTTATTACAAACCCGTACATAAGTTCTGCAGATTACCCACAGAAAGGATAGGAACAAAAGAAAAAAAGGAAGAATGCCACCCCCGGCCTGTGTATGTATATATACCCCAAAAGCTAGTCACATTTAAAGCTTACAGTGCGGACCTTGAAATTGGCTCTTTTGAGTTCTTGAGCATTCGGGGGGGAACCGGGCTTTGAAGAAGGCATACTATTACATCCATCGAAGGTGGAAGATTGACACTTTAATATCCCTTTCAAAGGCTTTTTCTCAATGGGGATTGTATTTTTACTGTTGGTTTCATTGGTAGTAGAAGAAGATGGCGATTTTCCGTCCTCCTCAGAAGGGCTATTTTTCGGTTTGCAAATCGTCTCCTTTTCAATGAAATCCATGGATGATGCATTGCCTAGATTGAAAATTTTCATGTCTACAGGAAATAGACATTTAAAAATCCCCTTCATCAATGTCGTTTTTGACTCCTTGTTTGGGTAATAATCATCATCATCATCCTCGCTGTTTGTCTTTGGAGTATCTTCACTCTCTGTACCTTGGGCTTTAATATAATCATATGCTTGATCATCCTTTTCGCAAACAAACACGTCTTCATAAGAAACGTCTTCATTTTCTTCTTTGCCCCAGAAAGAATCATCATCATCGTTATGATCATCATCACTACTGTCCATACCATTATTGGTTTGATCACGAAGTTTTCCTTCATTCACTTTGAGCAAACCTTCGGATAAAAATGGAAGGGATGCGAGATTCTTGAGAAAAGAACCTTTCTTCGGCGGAGAAGGGGTGGGAGAAGGAGAAGGAGAAGGAGAAGCCTTTACTTTTTTCTTCTCAACCGCGCTAAGCAAAGAAATGGCAACGATGGTGGAAATGAATAATTGGCAGATTCCACATTTGATCTGCTCATGTCTTTCAAACGACGAAGAATCAGTCAATCCAATCATTCTCTTAATCCCGAGAACTTTTCGCGCTAGATCACCCAAGTCACATTTCTTGTACTTGGGGTTGTTGAAGAATCTTGAAGCTAAGTACCCAATGTCAGAATTTTGTTTACTAAACCCCAATTGTTCAAAGGGAAACAAATCCCTCTTCTCGGGTATCCCAAAACCAACAAAGCATATTCTCTCATCAGCTAAGAACTTTAGGATAGGATCAGGTAAAGCTTCCCCCGAATGAAACCGTAGGATTACACACCCTAACCCAAAGCATAAGAGGACCAACACAATGTTGGGGTCGCGTGGATGTTGCATGACATCAATCCCGACAATCGGTTTATGAACCCTAATCTTACCCTTGGGGAAGAGAAAATCTTCATTGCACAAGTATTCAAAATCCTTAGTTTTGAAGGTGATACCTTCTAGCTTAACCTCAAAGCGGTTGGTCCTAAGATAAACAGTACCGGCCATGTTGTTGAGAAGGACGAGACTATTGATATGATGAAGACTTCAATGAATTGTTATTCCTGGTGATTTGTTACAAATGACAATTTTTTGACGCTGTGTGACTCGGCATCACAAAGGCAATATAAAGCAGCTACAAATCCGGAAAGATGAAATTGAGGTGCAACGGAAGTCTAAGAGAAAAAGTTGGAGTAATAACAGGTCGAGCATTGATTTCTCCAAGAAAATGCATAAATAAGACTCAATATTTATAATTCCCTAAATGCGACTAATCTTTACCATTTTACCCCTCCTACCATATAAATAATACGGTAGTATTATTTATTGGAAATATATATTCTTGTAAAGATAAAACCGTTCCAAATATGAGAAGGACAACTTGTCTGGTGGGGACAGACAAATGTACAAAAAAAAATGTACACATTTTGTGTACACCATGCATTTTTCTCCAAATATTCTTTACAAAATGGTCTTCAATATAATACGGAGTAGGATATACTACCTTTGTCACCCAAATATTGAGACGGAAGGGACTAAGGGAGGGAGTGATATGGTTTTTTAAAAAAGTAAAATTATGTGGTTGATAATGACTTGATAAAATTGGAATAAAGTAAGAATAAATTAAATCCACACAAATGTTACCAAATATGACATGAAACAATAATAGGGCCATAGGGGACATCCAAAAAAGGAAAAATGGTACAATTATAGGGGGACGGAGTAATAATTTAAGAAAGTTCAAATATTTTTTGAAACGGTGGACTGCTTCTTAATTGGGGGTTTGGTTTCTAATATTACTAAACAATAAGACAAGGACAAAAAGAGACCTTTTATCTTAATTTCCAAAAGTATGGCTAATAAAAACACACTTCTCTAAATTTCCCTCCTGCTTGTTGAACACTTGGTCCGCATAGCTCAACACCGACAGTGAGTAGTACTCGTTCGTCCAACATAATAATTAATGCTTCTTTTGATTTAAAAATTATTTAATACTTTTTTTATTTAAATATTCACTAATGCTTCTTTTTATTTTGATTTTTTTCTCAATATAGGCCGTATATAGTCTTAAATAAAAAAAATTATTACACTACAATTTGTGTGAAAACAGTCCCAATTACCATCGTTTTAGTGATCATCGTCTCAATTACTATCGCTCTAGTGACAACCATCTCACTTGTAATTATCACTCCAGTTACATCGTCTCAGTTACTAACGCTCCAGTGATTGTCGTCCTAGTTAATATTATAGCTCAAGTGACATCATCTCAGTTACTACCACTCCAGTGACAACCGTCTCGGTTACAATTATCGCTCCAGTGACATCGTCTTAGTTACTACCGCTCCAGTAACCACCGTCACAGTTAATATTGTAGCTCAAGTGACATCGTCTCAGTTACCACCGCTCCAGTGATCACCGTCTCAGTTAGTATTATGGCTACATTGAGATCGTCTCAGTTACTACCGTTCAGTGACCAACGTCAATCCGTCGAATGACTAGTGTTCGCCCGTCCAGTGACAAACGTCCGCCCGTTCAGTGACCAAGTTCCTCCCGTTCAGTGACCAACTTCCGCCTGTCCAGTCACTAATGTCCGCCCGTACAATGACCAACATCCACCCGTCCAGTGATTGCCCCACCGACCAAAGTGACTTTCTGCCCAAGGTCACAATGATTAACCGTCGACCGATCACAGTGACCGCCCGTGCCACAATGACTGCCCGCCCAACTTCGGCCACCGCCGCTTGATAGGCACTAGTTATTAGTGCCTAAGTGTACATTTTTATTATCATTTGTAATATTTATTTACTAGTATTATGCAAGTTTGTAGTTGTTAGTTTGCATTTGATTGTAATCGTATTTCTAGTATTTTATTGTTTGTTGTAAGTTATAGTTAGTTGAGTTATAAGTTTAGGATAGGTTTGGAAGCAAGAAGGATGGAAAAAACCTGAGTTTTATGCAAAAACCCGGTCGGGTATGGACTTTACCCGGCCGGGTATGAAGTGACAAAGGAAACTGCTGCAAAACTAGCAAATACCCGGTCGGGTATTCCATATACCCGGTCGGGTATGAAGTGATTTCGGACCAAAGAACGTGCAGAAGACACAAAAACATGGGAAAATATTTGATTTGGTAAATACCCGGTCGGGTATGTCAAAATACTCGGCCGGGTATCCGGCATTAGGTGTTGAAAACACCTATAAATAACCCCATTTTCCTTCACTTTTAAGCATTCCTTCTTCCATACTCTTAAGCTCAGTTTAGAATAGTATTTCTTTTATATTTTTATAGCATGTTTAGTCTCCAAATGAGGAGCTAAACTTCCATTTGTTGGTGTTTCTCTTGAAGCTTGTTGATTATTAAAGTTGTGAGTTATTTTGTTAACTTCTTCCCTTGAATATTAATTATTTTCTTAATCTATCTATATATTGATGTTGGGGAGTGTTGCTAAGATGACAATTAGTTAACATCTCAACATTAGTTATAGTAGTATTTATTTTCCTCCTCTATATATTAATGTTGGGGAGTGTTACTAAGATGACAATTAGATAACATCTTGACATTAGTTATAGTAGGATTATTCATATTTAATCTTCTTCCTTGAATATTAATTCTTCCCTTAATCTATCTCTATGTTAATGTTGCGGAGTGTTGCTAAGATGACAATTAGTTAACATCCCAACATTAATTACTACTAGAAACGTTCAACGAACTGATGGTTAATCGTTGATGGTTTCACAAGTAAGTAACTTCGGTTTATTAATGCACGGTCGTGGTTAATAAACTTAAGAGGGATTAATTTTGTTGGTTAAACCGAAACCGTTGTGTTGAGGTTATCAATCTCAATTGATTTCATCAAGGAGTTAAGAGATTACATGCTACTATCAAGTCGGTATATGGCGGTGTTCTATACATGACTAATAGTAAGGGTTATTAATGAACGGTCATTGTTAATAACTACCCTCGATGAATTGGATATACTCCTCGATTGAGTATTCGAGAGGGGATAAGTTATAGATATAACAATGATCGACTAAAATATATCAACAAGTGAAAAGTAGCAATGCCAAGTCCTTTTTATCTTTGAATTAAATCACATTTAAGTTGTTCATCTTTAATTTCTGTTTAATTAAATTAAATCATTCAATCATCCTAAACACCCCTTTTATTTACTAGTTCTATAAAAAGAGAACTATTCATTTCCCTGTGGATACGAACTCTACTACGCTATACTACGTATAAGTGTTAGTATTGAATTTATTTTGACGCACCGTGACAAAGTGCACGTCACCGCTACTTTCCGGCCGCCGCCTCACTTACCACTGATATCGCCAGCTCCCTCCCCAGCCCCTAAACCCCTTCCATAGCCCCTGCCCCCCCTCCCCAGTCCCCTCCATACCTTGCCTCCCTTGGCCCAAGCCATCATAGTACCCCCCAATGAACCCGAACCCTAACTGTTCGATCTGGATCACCCACGACCAACCTTGCATCACCCATGTCCCTCCCCAGCTCAAGCCCCCCACCAACGCAGTTCTGATCCAGCCCTCTAGCCACTCAATCGCTGCTGCAAATCTCCCCTCCCTGCCCCACCTTTGACAGCCCAAGTGCCCAACCTAGCCCCACCACCCGCAAATGAACCCCAGCCGCCGCCCTCCTCCAGATCTGACCGCTTTCTACTCGCCATTAATAAAGATATGACAGCCGAGGTGAAAAGGAGAAGCGGCAAGGCAAGGTGATGCAGAGAGGCGGCTGTGCAACGAGGTGATGTTAGGCGGCATCCTGTGCAGCGAGGTGGGCTTGGGTAGCTCTCATTCCCTCGGGTTGCAGACGAGAAGAAGAGTGGTGGCGATGGTGAGGAGAGGTGCAGCAGCGGCGTCGGCGACGAAATCGGCGTCAGTGGCTCTCTCTCAGGGTGGCTGCGGGTGTGGCTCTGTATTCCTGCATCGGAGCTCTGGAGCGGAGAAGACGATCCTGATTCGTAAAGACAGAGGGCTGGAAGGCGCATTGGAGCTCTGGGCAGAAGTATTGCTGGGCGAATTGTTTTTAATCACTTTTCAGTCTAATCCCATTTTAGTCATCTTTTTGGACTGTTAAAGTGTAGGAGTCACATGCTTGCCATTCTTTCTCAGTTGTATAGCTTTAATTTTACATTTTATTGTGAACATTGCACATCTGCCGTCGTACATGTGCCTCGTGGGGCAAATTAAGAAGAAAGAATGGCACACATATGACTCCTACACTTTAACAGTCAAAAAATATGACTAAAATGGGATTAGACTGAAAAGTGATTAAAAACAATTCGCCCAACAATACTTCTGCCCAGTGCTCCGATGCGCCTTCCAGCCCTCTGTCTTCACGAATCAGGATCGTCTTCCCTGCTTCAGAGCTCCGATGCGGGAATACAGAGCCACAGCCGCAGCCACCGTGAGAGAGAGCCACCGACGTCGATTTCGTCGCCGACGTCGCTGCTGCACCTCTCCTCAACGTCGCTGCCACTCTTCTTCTCGTCTGCAACCCGATGGAATGAGAGCTACCCTAGCCCTCCTCGCCGCACAGTATGCCGCCTAGCCTCACCTCGTTGCACAGCCGCCTCTCTGCATCGCCTTGCCTTGCCGCTTCTCCTTTTCACCTCGGCTGTCAGATCTGGAGGAGGGCGGCGGCTAGGGTTCATTTGCGGGTGGTGGGGCTAGGTTGGGCACTTGGGCTGTCAAAGGTGGGGCTGGGAGGGGAGATTTGCGGCATCGTTTGAGTGGCTAGAGGGCTGGATCTGAACTGTGTGCTGGGGGGCTCGAGCTGGGGAGGGACAGGGGTGATGCACGGTTGGTCGTGGGTGATCCAGATCTAACAGCTAGGGTTTGGGTTCGTTGGGGGTACTGTGATGGCTTGGGCTAGGGGAAAAAAGGTATGGAGGGGACTGGGGAGGGGGGGCAGGGGCTCTGGAAGGGGTAGAGGAGCTGAGGAGGTAGCTGGCGACATCAGTGGTAAGTGAGGCGGCGGCCGGAAAGTAGCGGCGGTGGTTGGAGTTGGGCGGGTAGTCATTGTGGCACGGGCGGTCACTGTGATCGGTCGACGGTCAA